ACAAAAAAGCAAGTAACTGCTTAGAAAATTGGAGGAAGATGTCACTCGGAAGATTACAGATAATGCTAAGCCTTGAAGAAATGAGATTTTAAAAAATATAGATCATATGAGGATAGGGCATGGCATCTCTCAGACATATGAAATACCCATGGCCAAAGCATAAAGGAGAATACTGGGAAATAGGCTGAAAAGGTGATTTTTGACTCAGAAGGGCTTCCTTGCAAGTTGCCTAAGGAGTTCCAATATACAAACGAGCCATAGAATATTTTTAAAGCTCCAAGAGCAATGTGGGCAATGGATCAAAAAGACAGAGAAACCAACTGGAGTTTGCCTAAATTGTGAAGAACAAGTTACCTGGCCCTTTCCCTACTCAATAGTTCAAACAATTTTAGATTTGCATAATTCTCCACACTACAAAATCTTCACTAAGAGTATATTTCTCATACTACGTTTGTGGTCTGTGTGTTTGTGCATACTACCTATTCAACAGATATTGCCTTCTATGTGTTGGACACTGGGAATAAAATGATGAGCAAAAACAGGTGTGGTCCTGCCTTCAAGGAGTTCATAGTTTCATATGGGAGATAATATTATGAAGGAATTTCAAGGAAGGGTGTTGAGTAGAGTGTCTGGCAAGTCTTAGGTTAAGACTGCCCTGAAGAAGTAACAATTACCACAAAAATATGAGAAACGAAAAAGAGCATTAATCTATTTTTTACATTACCAAAGGAGAAGATTCATAGGTACTAAAAAGAGCATGGACTCAAAGATCCTAGGTTCAGATTCCATTTGCAATGCCCATAAACTAAATAGTCTTGGGGAATGAATTTAATCTGTTTGATAGGATTCTATCTCCTTACACGGTTGTGAAAACTGTGTGAAAGTACTTAGCATACAGTGCCTGACCAAGAGAAGGTATTCAAAAAATGTACATTTAATTTCCCACTTTCTTCACCCTTCAAAATATTTATTTTCATGACAATAAATGATTTTTCCCAGTTGTCCTAAATCAAGCGCCAGGTATCTGGTAAAAGTCATTGGCAGCTGAAAATCTTGCCTATTCTCACAGAATCCTGGACTAAGAACTTAAAAATCTAATTTATGAGGGAGATTTTTGAGAACATTTTTAATCCTTCCAGAGTACTTCCAACTTCCATCAATTTTGCTGCCAAAAAGGAAAGTATAAATACTTTAAAAATAGAGAAAAATGCATAAAGCAGAAAATCTAGGTTTTAAAAAGCATCAAATAATATAGAACTTTATAATTGGATGGTGTTTCCTTCTCCTAAAGTCCATTAATAGAATGAATTAAACCATGTATGAGAGAAGCTCTGTAGGAACAAGAATGGAAAATTAAATGGAATCTAAGTTTCAAACACAGGCAAACTGATAAAGGACAATTGGGGCAGGATAGCTACTACCCAATAAATTTAGTAATTTTTAGTCATTTAAAAATAGCATTAAAGTAGATAATGTAGATTCGTTTCTGAGGAAGAAAAAAAAAAGGCTAAGAAATAATATGTGGAGTGATACAATTTAAAAAGGTTTTCATTCTGTACTCAATTTTCATTCTTGTTTGTATTCTAACAAATGTTCTTTTCCATATTTATATATTCTGTCTACATTCAGAACCTGAATATGTTTACTTATTAACCAGTAGAATACATACACTTAAAACTTCAATAATTTTGAAACAAGTCAAATTACATAACTGTAAGATATAGCAGATCAGCAATTCACAACCACCTCTACCTTGGTTCATCTTTACATAAGTATTTGAATTACTTTTAATGTCTCTTTAGAAGTTCATAAACTATATCTAGACCTCTTCTATAATTTTCACAATTAATTGAAGTTATACCAAATGGTAACTCCATGACTATTTCAAAATACCTATTCATAATTCATAAATTATCTTTATTCTTTGGCCCTTCAACTAATGGATTTGCACATAGGTAATAAATCCAACAGGAAATATTGTAAAGTATATTGTAAGAAGAAAGTTTTAAGATCATTAAGTAGTTGCTGTCCACTGGAAAAAAAGTAAGCTTGCTGCATTTTTTAAATAACCTTAAACTCTGACACCAACACTGAAAGGCAGTGTAAAATTAATGGTTCAATACAAATCATCCTACATTAACAGTTAAGATCTAAGTTCCAGCTTGGCTCAGATGCCTGCTATACCTAAGACCCTGTGTCTTAGCCCAAGTGTGTTGTTAAGGAATACCTGAGGCTGGATATATTTTTTAAAAAGAAGAAGAAGAAGAAGAAGATGAAGAAGAAGCATATTTGGCTCACAGTTCTGCAGGCTGTACCGGAAGCATGGTGCCAGCCTCTACCTGGCTTCTGGTGAGGGCCTCAGACCACTTCCACTCATGGCAGAAGGCAAAGGGGAGCTAGTGTGTGCAAAGATCACACAGGAATAAAAAGGGAGCAAAGAAGAGAGGGAGGGAAGATACCAAGCTCTTTTAAACAATCAGCTTCCTCTGGGGGACAAATAGAGCAAGAACTCATTACTGCAAGGACAACACCAAGATGTTCATAGGGGATCTGCTCCATGACTCAAACCCCTCCACAATGGGGATCAAATTTCACCATGAGGTTTGCAGTGGTCAAACTAAATATAGCATCACTTCTAAATCATTTAGGGTTTTTGGAAACAGCATACAATATTTAGTGAAAATTATCATATAATCAGAATATCTCTCCCCTAATACACGAACATGCACACCCAAAGCTATAGCTCTCCTGATACAATTCTGTTTTCCATAACAATGGTGACTGTGTGTCCAATGCATAAAATGAGTTTGTATGAGAAATAGCAACTTCAAGAATAAAAGGCCTAGCTTAACAAGAAGTAGCAAAATCTCCAAACTTGGGTTCCAAGTGGAATGATTCCAATTTAATTAAACAGATATTTTTTTTTTTATTTACTGCCCCAGTGTCTATGTGAGTGGAAGCATATCTCAGGTAGAGGAAAAGCTCAAGAAGGCTGAGAGATGAGAAAAGACTCTGTATATGCAAAGCACAGAAAACACGAGTATTGCTACTTTTAAAACATGTGTGTGGCTGGGGGAGGTGGCAGTGGCCGTAGTTGTGGTGCCGATGCTAGCCATAACTAGGAGCAAAATTTCACAGGGCTTTGCAGGCCTTATTAACAAATTTGAACCTCATCTCAAGAACACTCAAAAGTCACTGAAGGGTCTAAGCAATGGTGTAGCATGATTCATTTTCCATTTTTTAAAAACTTATGCTGCAGCGCACAGAATAGACAGCAAGTATACAAGGTTGGAGACAAAGAAACCAGTTAAGAGACAGCTTTGGTAATCTGAAATGATGGAAGCCAAAATTAGAAGGCAATACAACAGAAATCAAAAGTAAGTCCTCTGAAGTCATTTACCTACATTCAAATCCCAGATTTTCCATTTACCAGGTGTACAACTTTAAGCAATTGCTTCCTGCTATGGTTCGAATGCTACAAAAAGCATACGTTGGAAACTTATGCTGAACTGTTGCATTGGAAGCTGGAGCCTAATGAACATGGATAGGTCATGAGGGTGGAGCCCTCATGAATGGATTCATGCTCATTATAAAAGAGCTTGAGGTTGCAAATTCCATCTCTTGCTCCCTCTTGCCCTCTCTTACCTTTCTGCCATGGGATGACAAAGTACAAAGGCCCTCATCAGATGCTGCATCATTCTTTTGGATTTCCCAGCTTCCAAAACTGTGAGTCACATAAATTTTTGTTCATCACTTTACTCAGTCTGTGGTATTCTGTTATAGCAGCCCAAACGGACTTAAATACATATTCTCTCTACAACTCAGCTTTCTCTTCCTATAATCCAAAGATAAAAATCTTCACAGGATTCTTGCCAAAGTACAAATAAAATAATATATATACAGTAGTTAGCACGTTGCCTGGCACAGAATAAGAATGCAAATGTTTATCATTATTAATGCAAGGCAAATAGAATGAGAATATAACGAGAAGATGTTTAGGAGACAAAAATTGACAGTTTAAATAAAGGAAAAAGAGATGAGTTTGCAGCTTCTGGCTTGCAGAGTAATCTATTTGATAAGATGAGAAACATAGACTGAATGTTCTGAAGGTTTGAAGCAAAGGATAGTGTTCATTCTTGAATATATTGATTGTGAGTTCATTCTTGAATATATTGTGAGAGACATGCCAGTAGGCAAGCAAATATACAGATCTGAAGTACAGGAACAGATCAAAGCTGGAGATCTGAGATTCAGAGAGACAGATGGTAAGTCCACGGGTGTTGAGAAGAACCCCTAGAGAAAGAATATGCACAGTGAAGAAATGATGACACTAGGTAGAACCTAAGGAACACCAACACTTAAAGGACATTGAGAGCAAGAGGCCAGATAAATAAGAATAATACTATATGATATGTGAAAAACCAAAAGAAAGTATCTCAAAGAGGGAGTATTCAACAATGTCAATAGTGCCAAGCAGTGAAACAAGGACTTGACAACAAAGTATTTATTCACATAGTATGCATCAAGCATTGTGCTAGACCCTTGAGATACAGATAAGAATAAGAGAAGACCCTTGCACAAACAGACATGTTGTGAAGATAGTAAACTAGCAAACAAATCAAATACAAATTGTAGTAAGGATGGTGAGCAGGGAGTGACATGATAAGAGAGTAAAAGGCAGAGGCCAGCTTTAGGTGCGAGTTTCAGAAGGCATCTCTCTGAGGTAGAAAAATTTAAGCTGAAATCTGAGGCAGAAAAGGGCATGGTCAGAGAACCGAAAGGAGTTCCATATGGCTATGGTACAATGATGAAGGAAAGATGGAGAGAGAGAAGCTAAACCATGTTTGTGGATCATGCTCACAACATAGAAGAGTTTAGATGATGACCCATTGAGCATTTGTAATCAATGAAGCTAAGATCACTCTAGCTAATAGTAATTAACAGTTTGGCTTTTCTCATTATACTAATCTTAATAATCAGAAATAGGACATTTTACTACTGTTTCAACCATTAACTGTTTATTAAAATAATATCAGAATAAGCTTTTCTATCTTAAAGGATACTACATGGTTACAAATATGTTACCTATTGCATTAATTTTACTAATCCCCATTTAACCTTCCTTCATATTTCTTTCAAAGATATTTGTCATAATATCTGTTTGAGTCCATCAAATGTCTCTAAGGTACTCACTCATTTTCAAGCAATGTATATCAGAATTTGAATGTTTTATAACATGACTAAGCAAGATGTTGCTAAAATGTGTATGGGTCAATAACACACAAAGAACCTGATGAAATTCATCACCTTAAAAAAGATTATATTCTATAGTTTCAGCTTCCTATTTCCTTAATCTATGTATTTATACACATACATACAATAAAGAAAAGTTGATACAGAAAACATTGGCTTGAATCTGAGCAGCTGAATTACACATTCATATTCCTTTTTAATTTCCTCATCTACAAGAGGAAAAACTTATGGTCCTTTCATATTTTAAAGGCGTCAATAAGAACAAATGCCATCATCAGGTAGGGTGCTAGGCACATTAAATTATTTTTAATTATCCCAATACGTCTCAAAAATAAATATAATTCTTCCCACTTTACAGATGAAAAAAATAATCTCAGTGAGGTTAGGTGACTTGCCCAAGACTACAGTCATGGAATTTAAGCCCAATACGGTAGGCTCAAAAACTCTGGTTACTATACCAAGATGTCCCAGACTGTTAATAGATTGAGTTCCTTAAAAAAAACAACAGTCACATAGGAGATATCAAATCATAAAAATAGATTTTTAAATGATAAAAATATTTTGTTCAGTTTTTCAGAAACTGCGTATAACTTAGAAACATTAGCCAGACACACCATTCTTATACAGGTATATTTTTCCCTTCAGCATAATAACTTATTTCTATTTTTTTTAATATTGGAGAAGACAGATAAAAGGAGGCCATAACAGATAATCACACTGTATTTAAGGTCCAAGAATTACCACTGAGTTAAGTTTTTTTCCAGTTAATCCTTAATACAAATATTAAATTCAATTAACTACCAGCAACTCACTACCTATTCTCACAAAACTTGTTTCTCAAAGTTAAAAATTACAAATGGCTGGCCTAAGATGTTCCTGAATCAGAAAAACCTAACTTCTGATTAGAACCTCTAAATGTCACTATTTCTCTTAACTAGAAAGGAAACAAGTCTGAATAAAAGTATCATAATTTGCTCTAAGCAGAATCTACAGATGTATTGTATTGTGAGCTCTTCCTCCTCAGATTTTTCAGGTAGCCAAGTCATCCACCAAGATACTGTTTGAAGAAGACTAGATATTTAACAAAATGAAACTGATGCCAGATTATTTTTATTTTCCTTAATAAAATACAAACAAGAGCACAAAATTCACATATATATCATCATTTTACATGTATAAATAATGCTCAGAATTCAAGTACAGTCAAGTGCAGAAATATTTCCTATATGCTAATGTGTAAATATAAACTAATTACATACATCATGTGCCTTTGGCCCAGTTAAAAGACATCAAAAAGAAACACTGCACTTGACTGTTTCATTGCATTCTCATTGAGAATTCGTACCAGTGCCTATGTAGTTACAGTTTTACTTAACTGTTCCATTGCATTCTTATTGAGAATTCGTACCAGTGACTATGTAGTAATAACTACAACTTTCATACCACTCAATGTAAACACCTAAGTAGACATTTCCCCCAGTTGTAAATATCTCAGGAGCTAAGCTTCTATCAATTTTTAATAATGAAGTAGTCAAAATCTTAACTGAGTTTCATTCCTTAAAACAAACACAATTAGAGAACTTACTGTTAACCAAAGTTCTTCCTATGCCAAGACGGATATTTACAGGTTATACAGACAGAAAACAAAATGCAATCATGTTTGTTTACTTTTAGAATGGACAAAAAATATCTAAAAGCTGTCTCAATAATGTGGGTCTTTGTACATTCAAAAGGATCTTACTTCACTGATATCACTTGATTTTAATTTTAATACCCAATATATATAACTTTGTGATGTTCAAATAGCTAGGCAATCTGAATTCAAATGATACAGAAGCATACTCTTAGAGGGGCAAGAAAAGAAAGTACCACCGAAAAAGCAATAACTGACATCAACAAGACTATAAACATCCAGTTGAAAGCACGCAGAAGCATTTACTACTCTGCCACCAAAGACCCTCCACTTAGTTCAGGATCAGGAATAGAATCAACTCTGGGAACTGTGGAGTTGGCTTCCTCATTCTCAGTCTCTTCTTTCTCTTCAATCACTGAGGCTTCCTCATTCTCAGTCTCTTCTTTCTCCTCTGGTTCCTCTGAGTCAGATGCTTTTTCAATCACTTGGTTTGTCTGTTCTGTAGCTGGTATTTTGTCATCTGTCTGCTCTGTACTATTACCAAGAACATCTTGTTCTAAAGATTCTGAAAAGATAAAGATTCAAGAGTTTAGGAATACCCGAATGTTAAAACTGCTAAATAAGGCAAGCAAAAGATACACACACACACACACACAAACACACACAGAAACCATACAGTTGTCTAACACTATCCTTAAAATCTTTAAAAATAAGTAACTAATTCCCTTTACCGTTAGTATGATTGAAGAAAAAAAATAACTTAGATAAACCCATAAACATATTTTTTCTAATGTCCCATATTTTCATACAAAATAAGTTCCTAAAGACACATCTGAAAGTTGAATGTCCAAAAATCATAGTCCCAAAAGAATTATGTGCTATAATGCCATTGTCCAGCAAACAATGCAAATGTATTAATGTCCAGATTGTTTCCTGAATAAACTGTTTCCCTTGTGTCCAGGCAACGCTGTGAGCAATGTGTAAAAGTGTACTTTTGTGTGTGTGGATGTGGGTGGATGGTGCTTTCCTACACTGATGTACATCCCTATTATCCCAAAACCGGGAAGTCAGGGTCTACCTTTTCCAAAGGCATGACAAGTCTCTCCTCATCCCTCTGCAAAAAACAAGTCCTTGGTATTTAACCTCTGGGTCAGAATGTGCTACATACCTAGCATGCTAGGGAGAGAAAGGGTCTTTTAACCCCACCTTCATAGCAGAAGCTAAGTAAGGCTACTAGTCCCTACATGAAAATTTACTCCTTTTAACCTCTAACTCTTTTTAAGTATTATTGAATTCAAATCCCTTAATAATATAACAATTGTATTAAATAAACTGCCTTTCATTCTTTAAAGAACAAGATAGGGGAGGGAATAACTGGAGCAGACAACCTTTGGGACACGTATTTCTATGTTACAGATAAAAATCTAGCTAGGTATTTATTTTTGTAAAAAATAGCAATATTTTTGCTAGGAGAAATATGGCTAAACCACATCAGTTAAGAAAAAAATAGATTTTTCTACTCTCACAGATGGTTGCTTATGATATACTACAAATGTTACTGATTCAAAAAATCTGGAGGGAAGGCCAGTCTTAGTAAAAAGTTCTAATTAAGTTTCTTGTATAATACAGGCCAGTTTTGCTAAATAAATAAAATTGTTTTGCAAATAAATTATGTGTTATATGCACACATGTTAATATGGAAGTCTTAGAAATCCATGGTTTTACCATACCAGTTTTAATAAATACGAATTATCTGTATCTCACATACTCTATAACAATACTTTTAAAATATTTAAAAAGAATTATTTCTTCAAAGAGGTATCTTGGACTCTGGCTTATATAATTAATTATAACCACCTTCCTCCTTTCTATATGTAGAATAAAGGCCCAAATTCCACAGTTAGAAACGTTTTAGTTATTAAATTATAGTAAAACTTAAGGATGTTTTGCTATATGAAACATTCCTATGATCACAAAAAGTAGTAAAAAAGTCCATAAATTAATTTGTACCAAATTTCATTTTTTAAAATCCTATTTGTATCTTAATATGGAACTTAAAGTGGCACTGCTACACCCTTGGAATCTTACAAAAATCCAAGTTAGAAAAGCAGTAAGTCACTCGAATTTTGTTATTTCAATGTTCCAGAGCAGAAAGGAAAAGCAGAAAGGGCAAATGAAACTACAGGCATGTACAAATCATTTCTGCTACAAGAGCAAACAAGTTATTCGTGGAAAACTTCAGGAGTCACCAATCATTTGTAATTCTACCCTCATAGAATTTATCCAAGACAGAATTTTAAGAGTCATGGTTTTCCACAACTCTCTGGCCATACAGCAATACTTACTTGGCAAGAACTTCACAATTTCTTATACTTTAGTAAGCCTTCTAAAACAAACCAATAAAGCCACAAGAAATGAAAAAATAAAAAGCTCGGAATCCAGGATGTAACTCAGCAATAAACATGTTTAAGTGAAAACAGGCCCACATAGTTTGTCATATTCTGTCTGACGGATTGCCTCAATACTGTATTGAAACAGGAGAGGTATCAAAATCCAAGACTTGTCATATTAAAGTTTTGTGATGTTACTATTTTCAAAAATAAACTTTACTAGTCAAAGCTAATTTAATATACAAATTCTGAGGCCATAAAGAAGTGGTTAATACAAGGAGGAGAACTACAATACTGAAATTTTTAAATGTCTGCAACACAAGGATTCAAAGAAATACCATGTGCTATCATAATCAGAAAACAACATGGTACACAAAGTTTTCCAGTCGCTATTGTATTTCAGAGAATATGTGAAAGACTACAAAACTGATGAAATGATGGGTGGAGACTGAAAATAATCAAAGAGCCTATTAATGATTACTTTTCTTCTCCTGGGTTAATTTGCAGAAGAGCAATTTTTTAATAGCAGTAACACTATAAAAAATTGGTATGTGACATGACACCTACAATGTAGACATCAGATAGTCTAAATAAGACAGTTAATTGATGTTTGGATGCCAGTGCCATTTTGTAAGAAGTCATCAAACAAGATCTAAATAATTAAGTGTAAAGATTAACAGAGAATTACAAATCAATTTAATAGCCACAAAGCTTTATAAGAAGATTAACGTGTAACAAACGCGCTTTTTTCATTTCTATGGAAGCACATCATTTGACTATTCTAACAAAAACAGCAAATTTCTTCCATGAAGTTGTAGTTTAAAACAGCTTGTTGGGATAAATATATTTCCAAAGATGTTAATATTTGTGCATAAAATACTATAAGAGAAACCAGGCTTTGTGTTCACACTAATTAAAGAACCCTACTCTTCACTGTATGGCCCAGTGCAAGACAAAGATATGAAACAATTACCCGAATAGCCTAATTCCATCTGTAAGAAAAATTTTAAAATTCACTCTGGCATCTATAATGCCAAGAAAACAATATACCACAATATGACAAAACAAAAAAGAATCCAAGCAATTTGTTTCTTTCCGCACTCCTGCCATCAGCCCACCCCAACCTCAATATTCTTAAGAGAGTTCTTTTTTTTTTTTTTCTTTACCAAATAGTAACAATTGGCTTCCAGTTGTTTGGGCAAAGTCTAAACTCAGCTAGAAAACTGAAACTCATAAAACAGCATAATTATATAAGGAATATCACTGCCTCACCTATAAACTACACACATGCAAAAACATGTAAGAATATCATGTTTAGGTTTTTACTCTAGTTCTTGAAACAACAATTTTTTAAGATAATTAAATAGTAATCTAGCAAAACAACTTCATATATTTTTGCCTTGCTAACACATAAAAATTTTGCCTTGATAACACATCAGTGTCCAGTATATATATAGGCTACAAACTTACCCAATGACTCAATACATAAAATTCAATTAAATTATAACCACTCATAAGAAAATAGCTAGTATTCAACACATAGAATATCATTAATTATTTACCATTTCTGAACAAATCAATTAGGAGTTTTTTGTTTTGTTTTGTATTGTTTTGTTTTTGGGACGGAGTCTCACTCTGTTACCCAGGCTGGAATGCAGCGGTACAATCTCCGCTCACTGCATCCTCCACCTCCCAGGTTCGAGCAATTCTCCTGCCTCAGTCTCCCACATAGCTGGGACTACAGGTGTGCGCCACCACGCCCGACTTATTTTTTATTTCTTAGTAGAGACAAGGTTTCACCATATTGGCCAGGCTGGTCTCAAATTCCTGATCTTGTGATCCTCCCAAAGTGCTGGGATCACAGGGGTGAGCCACTATGCCTGACCAAGAGTTTAATTATTAAGCAATGATCTAAAACTATGCTACTAAGTGAAGGTGTTTTAGAAAAGGGAGTCAGAAGACCAAATGATCTCTATGTCTAAAACAAACATTCAAAAACATACTGTAAGCAAGTTTATATCTTCAGAAAGTGGCACATAAGTAAATATAAACAAAGGTATAAGAACATTATTTAATGGATCTGGTAAATACGTGGAAGTCAACAAAATTTACATTACCAAATAGTTTAATTTTCTGGTACATCATAACAAAAATACTAAACACAGAATTTTCCCTTGTCCAGCACAATCTAATGGTAACAGTATTTCATATAAAAGAAAGGGAAGGACTAAAATCACATTATCAAGTTAAATTTCACCTTATATAAATTTTACTTGCTATTTTTGATAGTACTGATTAGACACCATAAGTTTTATTATTAGGAAGTTATTTCTAATTGGACAAAAACTGTATTCTACTGAAATTATTGCATGAAACCTAGACAAACACAACTAAGCAACAAAAACACAATATCAACATTAACATTTTTTAAACATGGTAGTCAAAAAATCACTGCACTAGAATATTAACAATGTAGAAACCTAGAATTCCAATGATTATTACATATCATAAAAAGGATCCTATATATTAGTATTTAGAAAGTACATTTTCTAAAAAAGGAAAAACTGGTAAACCACTTTAATGTGACTTAGCAGAGATTCAAGTATTATGGTGCTATTTATTTGACCATAAAAGAAACTGAGGAACCTAAAAGCAGTTCATTTCTTGGCATATCATATTTAGTATGTCCTCAAAAAGACAATTTATATCCCCAATTTCTTGTATTTCTTTAATAAGACAAATTATATCCCCCATTTCTTGTATTTCTATTACCAAGGCATCTGGATGTAAAATTCCAGAAAAAAAAATATTCTAGGTATTCAGGTGAGAAATTAATGGGAGAAATTTCTTCTAGGTCTCCTCCTTTGATGAAAACTTTCCAAGATTCTGTAAGTTTTTCTAAAAAGCAGTCCAGAAATTTTAACAGCTTTGCGCCTCATCCTAAATGCAAAATCTTCCAATATCAGAATCCAGGCAAAACTTAATTTCAAAATCCTTATATCACAGATTGAAAAATATATATTTCTTCTATTAATTCTTGGTTGTTCATAAAAATGGTTACTGGTATCTGTTTAAGGAAAAGTTCAGATGGAAGAAAGTTATCTGTTGGTTCTATCTGTAACTTCAATAACTTAATCTCTACAATTTCTGCTGCTATCAAGGAGCCACTTCAATACTTTTAATAATATAAGAATTAAAGCAGAGAAGTTTTTTTTTTTTTTTTTCAGACCTCAAGTATCTACATTATTTAGAAATCAGAAATCTAAAACACTGGCTGTTAGCAAAGAGTAGATGACTGAGATGATATGGTTTTAATTAATAGTTCAATATAATCATAAGCCACCAGCGTTCAAAACAAACGCAGCTTCATCTGTTCATAAGAAATACTTCTAATCGTTTACAAAAGGAAGCCAGCTTGGAATTGATAACTGTGTGTCACAGTGTTGAGTTAGAAGTCTTCAGAAAAGTTTCAATCTTCTGGAAAGTCAAAGAAGAAAAAGATGCTCATGGCCACTTTGATGAATCCAAACAGAAGTATGAAAGTTATTATTCTAGAAACTATCTTAACCAAATGGAATCGTTGCTTCAGTTTCAACATTATGGAGCTATCAAACTCTGCCTCAACTTTTGTCTTCACCTAATAACATTACCTTATTTGGGTTGAGTTTGAGCCAGTAAGACTTCTTTCCAGAGATTTCAGACAGAAAATGAGACATCTGGGGTATTGCTCCTCCTAGATTAGATGAGAAGGAAAGGTATAGCTGGATGTTGTCTGCTAACTATCCATCTTGACCTTAGCAGAAGATATAAAGCATGGGACTCATTATCAAGATTTTCACTCGGTTGGCTGTTTTTTCTTGTCTTGTCTATTTTTTTTTGTCCCAACTCTTATCTTTCAAATATTCACTTTAGCTTCTCTAAGCAAGACTAGTGATGGAAAAGACTTCAATTTTTCCTCTAGGCATCTTCAGTATGAAATCCTTTAATTTTCAGTTCCAAGAGGCTGCGATGGTAAGGCAGGTGGTTTGCATGTGACAGCATGCAGCTCAGAGCACGACTTAAGCAAAAGAAAAAAATTGTCATTCTGTTTGGAGTTGATGCTGCAGACTTGGAGAAGATGAATGCATTGATTCAGTGTTGAGTATACAGGCCTCTCTCATAACTATCTGTATTCAAATTTGTTTCCATATTTGTTAGTAAGCCAAAAGCCAAGCCCAATTCAACACACGCATTTTAGGTTCGCTCTTCAAAGTTAAAAATATATATATAGATACTCAAATCCCACACTAAATTTCTGATATCTGAAAATTCACTGCTTCGTATGATATTCTCAATTAGAACAACTTTTACAGTACTCAATGTTTTTTATGAAGAAGATATCAAGTATATATAAATTATAATTACTAGAAATTAAAAAGAATTAATCCTGACTGATTAATTATGGGAACTAAACTTCTAATATGCATTTTTTCTATACCACACATAACACCAAAATATTATGGCCTAGTTCATAATTTTGGCAATCTTTATAATTCAGGGCTGATTAACAAAGAGATCCTAACCAAATATTAATGCTGTAGTAAGAAAGAGCTGGCAATAGTCAAATCTCCCACCTAATCTTTTCCATTTTTTCATGAAACTTCCTCAAGAATTCCTAAAACAGAATTGTGAGATGAATTCTAAAACCCTATAAATTCTGATAAATTCTGTTTCTCTAAAATAAAGTTGATTTTTATGTCAAAGGCAATGTTAATCTTGTGAACCTTTATAAATTGTCTGTTTCAATGAAATATCAGTCCTACTGATACAGTCATCCAAAAAAATGCAAGGATAACGTTATAATTCCAAAGTTTCCTGCTTTCTGGTAATATCTACCAATTCATGTGGTAGATACAAACCTATTTTATCAATGTTAATCACAAATCTTGTATTTTATCCTTTGAGTAGTTGTTTCATAATTCCAATAATCTGTTTCATTCAGATAAATTGAAAAAATTATCCCATGAAAATATTACTAATCAAATCTCCCAACAGTTTTTAGAAAAGGTCACTCCATAAACAATGTTTAACTAGCTGATGTCAGATATTGCTTATCACAGTACAATCTGCATGTTAAAAGTGAAACACATCACACCAATCACATAGGAGGGAGGCTACAGTAACAGAGCAATAGCCGATATATGCACGATGCAAAATCCGATAAATTAATCCATCCTTACCTAAAAGCATTATGCTTTTATTACTGTTAAATAACAACATGTTATTAAGGGACAAAACTGTTTAACATATCCATACCTTCGTTAAACTGGTTGTCTGATGAAAGCACACTTCCTGATGGCAAGGGACCAACTGAACTTGAACCTTCCACCACCTGCCTCTTCTCAAAACTAAACTCGGGAAGTCTTGGAGCCTGAGGTCTGGTTTTTCTTGCGGGGTTCAAGAAAAAACAGTAGGCACATCGAAAAGCTGCAGAGAATATTTTAAAAATAAGCAAAACCACAAACCAAACAAAGTTCAAGGACTAATTAGTTAACTCACAAGATTACTTTTGCAGATATTCAAAAGAACTCTTTAAAAGTTACTGTATTTATTTTAATAATATGGTAGATGTTCTAAACAGAACTAATTTACAGCATATTTCCTAATTATTAAAATTAAAATTGTAATTTTTTAAATTAAAGGCAGAAAAGGCATAACAGGTTATATAGCAGGCTAACTATGTAATAAGTTACACAGCAGGTTGATAGCAAAATAATGACTTAAATGAATTATCGAGATTACATTTCTAGTCACCAGAATCATTAGGTATTTTAAAATCCAGAACCTTGCACATTTACCCAAGAAAATGCAGTACACAATATTTTAGAAGCATTTTTAATTTACCACAGTAGTTTTTAATAGTGGCTACACATGAGAATCATCTGCAGAGCTTTAAAAAATGTACTGATGCCTGGACCCCACAGTCAGTCCCTTAAAGGAGACTCTTTGTAAATGGGTCCTGGGTCTCATAATTATTTTAATCTCTTCAGGTGATTGTGATGCACAGTGGGGTTTGAGAACAACTGGCCTAGAGGCTGTTCACTGTATAGGAAGGAACCCAAATTGTCTTCCCTGCTTGCTCTATGTACCAAAATAAGGATAATATGCCTAACCAATGTATACAAAGAGAGTATATAAAATAAAATGACAACACATAGAAAATGGCATAGAATAAAATATTTTAAAGTAAAATATTTAAATCTCATTGCCCAATAAGACTTACCAATATATTCAAATTCTTCCTTCAAAGCCATGCCATTATGAGAAAAACACTGCTGACATATAAGTGCATACCTACACCATAAGGAAAAATGAACAAGCCAGTTACAAATGCAGACAAAGCTTATGGGAGAGGCCATTTTAGCCATCATGACTAATTTATATTTTAACATAGCTAAATATGCCATAACAAATTATATGATAGTAAACCATACACAATATTTGTTAAACAAAAACCAAAATTAGCCAAAGCCCAAATTTCAAAGATTTAAAAATATAATTTATACATCAAATTAAAAAAAAAAACTAGACAGCAGTTAAATGAATATGTCTTTACTAAGTTAGCAGAAACATATTTGATAACTGAACACTTAAATTTTGGTGTTTCCCAAAGTATAGTCCTGAGGATGAAAGCCTCCAAATCCATGGTCAGATAAGTAAAGCTGGAACCCTCTTAGAGATTCACAAGGAATATTATTAAAACCTGAGAAGTCTTCCAGCAAATAAACATATTTAATTTTGTTTAGTCCCACCCAAAGATTAATTTCTATACATGATTCCTATACCTTTCCCTGTTACACTAAACATCTTTCTCATTTTCTATTTATATACTTTCTCAGTTCTCTGTGGATATACTCAACAAATACTTGCCTGTATCAAATGTCATTCTATTTTGAATAACATATAATTAGGAGGGCTATCAAACACCTACTATCCTATGAATTTTTAAAAAATCTATACTTTGATAATTACTCTGCACATATCATATGATCTTCCTAGAATTATTGTAAGAATAACTGGAAAAGCATTTTCAGAACTGTTAGGTACTAAATACTGCAAATTGCTCTTAATGTTATTAAAAATACTACTATCACCAAGTCCAGTACTGATATCTATAAAGCTCCATTTCTTAGAGCCTATCAGCAGTGCACTATGTTTTTGCTCTTTACGTTTAAAAGTTTCAATGAAATAATCCACTTTCTCTAAAAGTTATAGCAGAGTTAATATTTTTTCCAAATGGATTTAATCCCTACTACATTGTCAAAACTTCTACTGTCAAACAATTGAATATGTATTCTTTTGCAGGGCTATAAAATACTCCATTATGCTCTAAAATCAGAAAATAGGTGCCGCAAAACTGTAGAACATCTAGTATGTGCACACACACACACACATCCTGATTTCATTTCCATTTATCTACCACCCCAGTAAATATTACCTGTTCTGTGGACCATCACCAACCAAATATTCAACAATTCTATCTAAAGCGCCTCGTTCTCGGGGGAGAATAGGTCTTGCTAAAGGTGGACCTGGAGGATGAAGACCTATTAAATAAATACATATAAAATTTATATGTATGAAATACACATAAAATTTAATTCTATTATCAAGAACTATCTATGCTTAACACTTTTAAAAGGTTTTAACAAAATAACAAAATATTAATTCTTACAAATCTCTGAAGACCAAATTTTCACTAAAAATACTGCACTATAAAAATATATTTAAATATGTGCTAATCTACATAATCTACTAGATTCCTACTACATAATCTACTAGCAACTACAATTATGCTTAATTCTGTTCAAACTGATTTTTTAAAATGTTCCAACTCTTAAAAATCCATGTAATCATAAATCAGGGGACTTCCATTTCAGATCACAATAGAGTAACAGGAGTCAGATTTAACGTCCCACCTAAAACACTGTGCAAAACATATGAAGTAACAGTTTTAAAGACACAGGATATCAAGCAATGTAGGTTATTGTTCCCTGAGAAGACTAAAAACAAGACACACCCTACACACCCAGCTTACTGCCTATAGTTTTTACTCAGCAGTGAAAGGAAAATAAACCCAGCTGAAGGGTAACAGACTCTCATAGTTGAGGAGACAAAGCCAGAATTCTGAGGAGGCCAAGGCAGCTTGAGTTCACAAGAAAAAGTACCAAGGAGGAGAGAAGGCATAGAGAAAGAACAACAAAGATCTACAGAGGGTTTACTAGAGAATTCAGCAGAGTACTGATTGGTGCATGCATGTGAGAAAACTATCTGAGGATGGAGGAAAAAATTACCCAAAAAGGTGAAAAGAAAGTGTTCATTCAGGGCCAAGAATATTGCCCATTTCCATTAGAGTGGAAAAGCCTCCTAACACACAGGCCATTGGGTATTCAGAAGAGTACTGTATAGGAATTTTTTAAATCTAGCATTCAATAAGGTAAAATTCACAATGTCTGGCATCAGATTAAAAATTACTAGACATGCCAATAAGCAGGAAAATATCACCAATAAGAAAAATCAATCAAAACTGACCCAGAAAGTATGAAAATGACTGAATTAGTAGACAACTAATTCTTATGACTGTATTTCATATGTTTGAGAATCTAGAAGATTCAGTATGCTAACTAGACATGAAAAAAACTTAAAACCAAATTGAATTTCTACAGATAAAACTATAATGTCTAGCATAAAAAAAATCCAGATTATGTGTACAGCAGTTTAGAAACTGCACACACAAAAAACTGGTGAACTTTAAGACAGCAATAGAAACCATACAAAATGACAGCCAGGTGCAGTGGCTCATGCCTGTAATTCCAGCACTTTGAGAGGTCAAGGCAAACATATTGCTTGAGCTCAGGCATTCAAGACCAGTCTGGGCAATAGGAGGAAGCCCCATTTCTATAAAAAAAAAAAAAATACAAAAAATAGCTGGGTGTGGTTGCATGCATCTTAGTCGCAGCTACTCAGAAGGCAGAGGTAGGAAGGCTGCCTGAACCCAGGTCAAGGCTGCAGTGAGCCATGATCGTATCACTGCACTCCAGCTTGGGTGACAGAGCAAGACCATAGAACAACCTCAAGCAGCCAATATATATAATTGGAATCCATCAAGAAGAGGAGAGAAATGAAGAAAAAGACAAAAATATTTAAAGAAATAATATATATTTTCTAAATTTGATGAAAGCTATAAATGCACATATTCAAAAATATCAACAAATCCCAAGCACAAGAAACATAATTGTGTTCCAAGGCAGTGAACAACCAAATTGCTTAAAACCAATAATAAAGAGAAAAAAAAAACAACCAGAAAAAAAATACATTATGTACAGAGAAAGAGATAAGAATAACAGCAGACTTCTCATCAGAAAAGATGCAAGCCAGAAAATGATGAAACAATGTTTAAAGTTCTGAAAGAAAAAACTGTCAAAAATTCTATATCTACTGTGAACATCTTTTTTAAATGAAGACATTTTCAGATATAAAAAACTGAAAGAATTCATCACTAGAAGAAGAGCAATATAAGAAATGTTAAAAAGAAGTCCTTCAGCAGAAGTAAAGTCATAGCAGATGGAAAGTAAGATCTACACAAAGGAATAAAGAACCTAAAACAGTTATCATGTGGGTAAATATATAAGACTTTTTATTATTTAAATCACCTTAAAAGATAACTGACTGCACTGTATTATGCATTATATGTAATCTAGAGATAACTTAAAGTATATGGAAGGATATGTATAGATTGTATGGAAATACTATGCCATTTCATATAAGGGAGTTGAGCATCTGCGGATTCTGGTATCCACTGGGGGATCCTGGAAACAGTCACCCATGAATATATGTACTTTCAAGTAAATAGAAAACATTTACCAATACATGGTATTCTTAGACATAAAATAAGTATCAATACATTTTTAAAGATTCAAATAACACTATATGTTTTATAACAATAGAATTAAATTAGAAATCAGCAGCAGATAAACATCTGAAAAATCTCCAAATATTTGGTGACTAAATAACATACATTTGAATAACCCAGGACTCAAAGAAAACAGGAAAATTAGAAAGTATTTTAAATTGAAAGAAAATGGAAAAAAAATCAAAATTTATATGCAGCTAAAGCAGTACTGAGAGAAAAATTTGTAATGTTAAACACCTATATTACAAAAGAAGATAGGACTAAAATCCATAATTTTAGCTTCCTCATTATGAAAATAAAAAGGAAGAGCAAATGAAACCCAAAGTACAGAAGAAATAATAAAGATCAGAAAGGAAATCAATACAATAGAAAATGAAAAGATGGTTCTTTGAAAAGATCAATATAATTGTTAACCTCTATCCAGACTAATTGTGGGGGAAAAAAAAAGAAGATACAAACTACTAGTATCAGAAATGAGAAAAATGGCATAACTCCAGATTGTAAAAACACTAAAAGGATAATTAGGGAATATTATGTGCAACTTAATGCTGATAAATTCTACAAGTTAGATAAAATGGACAAACCCCTTGAAAGACTACCAAACTACCGAAGTTCACTCAAGAAAATAAAAATAGTTATTTGATTTGTTAAAACTTTGTTAGGAATTTTTGCATCTATGTTCATGTGTGATATTAGTAGTTTTCTTAAAGGAACTGAATTTTTAGTTAAAAAACAAAAACACCTTTTTCTCTCAGAAACAAACAAACAAAAAAAACAGGCCCAGATGCTTCAACTGATCAAATCTACCAAACGTTTAAATTAAGGAAGAAATAATACCAATTCTACACAAATTGTCCAGAAAAATGAATAGGGAATACTTACTCATAACATGAAAGCAACATAACTCTGATACCAAAACCAGACAAAGATAAGACAAGGACAAAATAAAAAAAACACAGACCAATATTCCTGATGAGTACTGATATCAACATTTTTAACAAAATATTAGCAAACTGAATCCAATAACATGTACATAAAATAATTCATCATGATAAAGTGAGATTCATTCAAAGAAAGCAAAGGAAGTTTAACATTTAAAAGTCAATTTAATTCACTATATGAACAGGCATTAAAACAAAGAAACAAACAAATCCCAATATAAACATCTCAATAGATGTAGAAACAGCATTTGAAAAAATCCATACTCTATTACTGATTAAAAAAAAAAAAAACCTTCAGCTAAGTAAGAATAGATGGGCACCTTAAGCTGAAAAGCAGGATTTATTAAAATAAAAAACCCCAGTTCTAACATCATGCTAAAATGTGAAAGGAAAATTGTTCTTTTTCTAAGACCAACAAAAAGGCAAGGATGCCCATTCACAGTATTCTTATTAGCACTGTACTGAAGGTTCTTGTCCATGTAATAAGGTAAGAAAAATAAATAAAAGGAAACCAGATTGGAAAGGGAGAGGTAGAATTTTCTTTATTCTGACAATGTAGCTGTCTATGTAGAAAATACTATTTAATCTACAAAAAAGTTATCATACTAGATAGAGCCAATAAGTTAATTTATCAAGGTTATAGAATACAAGAGCAATATACAAAAATCAATTGTATTTCTACATATACTAGCAATAATCAGCTGGAAATAGTTAATAAAACAATACCTTTTGTAATAGCATGAAAAATATGAAATAATTGGATGTAAATTTAACCAAAAAATGTGCAAAATCTATACACCAAATACTAGAAAACACTGCTGAAAGAAATTAATGACCTAAATAAATTAAGAGAAATATACTATGTTCATGTAATAAATTAGACAATATCAGAAGAGATTAATGGTAAGTGGGGAGTAGAATAACACATAAAATTTAGTTAATAATTTTATTTTATATAAAAATAAAGAGTTACACATTCAAACGTTATCAATTGTAACCCTATATAACCTCTGAAAATTGAAAGAGAACTATTTGCAGGAGATACTCGGAACTGAGAAAACACAGAAGGCACTGAGAAGAAAGTGACAGAATAAAATAAAATGTGATGTTTGCCTTTGTAAAACAAAACAGAATGAACCTAATAAGGTCAGTAGCAATGGTGGTTTACATGGAGACTTCATAGAAGACTCAAACAAAATGGAACCCTGTTGGAAGAAGCCTTGCAATATATGGATACAAGGGTTTCAAAATGGCTGTGGCAAAATCTTTAAAGTATTCAAGATGGCTTTAGGATAGCAATAGTGTATTATACTAATATTTTAAAGGAATAAAAAAGAATTTCAATTTGTAAGTAATCACAAATGTAAAGGCTATTACCATCTATAAAAGGGCAATTGATGTCAAAATTATAGCTATTAGTAAATAAAAGTTAGGTTCTAAAGCAAGTTCTTAGTATTAGAAATCAAGTACACTTTTTTCTTTCTTTTTTTGAACAGGGTCTTGCTCTGTCGCCCAGGCTGGAGTACAGTGGCGTAATCTTGGCTCACTGCAACCTCCACCTCCCAGGTTCCAGGGATTCTCCTCCCTCAGCCTCCCAGGTAGCTGGAATATAAGTGCCTGCCACCACACCCAGCTAATTTTTGTATTTTTAGTAGAGACAGGGTTTCACAGTGTTAGGCTGGTCTTGAACTCCTGACCTCAGGTGATCCCCCTGTCTTGGCCTCCCAAAGTGCTGAGATCACAGGCGTAAGCCACTGCACCTGGCCCTCAAGTACACTTTTAAGATTCCATCAGTGGCAGGGTGCAGTGGATCACGCTTGTAACCCCAGCACTATAGGGGGCCAAGGTGGGTGGATCACCTGAGGTCAGGATTTCAAGAACAGTCTGGCCAACATGGTAAAACTCCATTGCTATAAAAATTAGCCAGGCATGGTGGCACATGTCTGTACTCCCCTGTGGGGAGGCTGAAGCAGGAGAATTGGTTGAACCCGGAAGGCAGAGGTCACAGTCAGC